AAAGGAGAGTTCCTGATGTTATCGGATGACTCCTGCTGGAGGTCGATCATTGGCATTATTCACCGATCTTAAAACTTATACCACGGGTGCCATGACCCAAGTCTTTTGAGTGAATTTGGGTAGACGGTACTGATGGGGGTGGGGCTCGATAGATCTAGGGAGTCACCAAGTGTTTGAGCGTGCTGACCTTGTTACCACGCTACATAACAAAACTGTAATCAAAGCCTGCTAGTTGCAGTATAAACAGCAGGTGGCATCTGTGGGTGTTGAACAAACAAAAGTGTGCCTGAGTAAGCGATTGTCGCAACATAGTCTTTTTAATTCAATCAGTTATTAATCTCAGTAAATATCACAACAAACAGACTTATGACATTAAATTTCAGTTAATATTTTTAAACAATCTCAGTTTATAATATTATTCGAGTTTCTTAAAGTTATATGGCTAAATTTGAATGACTCCTGCTGGTTAGCCATCTTAGATGAAGCATTGTCAATTATTATTCATTTTTCACTAGTATTTCTTTCATCTTCATTTCTCTTGCTTTTTATTGCAACTGCCACCCATAAGAAGTAGAAGTAGAGAATATAGCTATATGGCTAAATTTCAATGACTCCTGCTGGTTCGCCATCTTTGATGAAGAATTCTAAATTATTAATTTTTGCCTAGTACAAATTTCATATTAATTTCAATTGCTTATTATTGGAATGCCTAGACTGTCATTCTACGATCGTTATTATGCAACACGTATCGGAAATGTCGAAATAAAACATGGTAGCTGCAATGAAATCCAACGGAAATTAAAATGAAATAAATCATATTCAATAATTAATAATTAAGCTTAATAAGGTTGGACATGACTTGCTTGTTAACCATAACTACAAGGCGAACTTTCACCGCTGCTACATAGGTCTACCCACTTGTGACGTTCGGTTCGTTCCCAGTCCAACTGCATCCGCTCACTCCGTTGCTTTCCCTGCTTCATCCATTTACTTCTTCCTTTATTTATTCTCCTTCTCACTGTTTCCTCTGCTGCCGCCGTTCATTTGCTTTTCACGGCATTACGGGAATTTTATATCCACTAATAAAGAGTTCGTACTTGTCCGTTAACCTTCGTCGCAACACTTTCATGTTGGTTCGTTTGGACGGGTGTGTCATGGATGGATGTAGGCAGCAGGCCTGTCCCTCGATAAAAATTTTGAAATGGAAGGAGAAAGAAAGATTGGATAAAAGACGAATGAAGCTGTAAAGAAAGTGAAAATGGGAACGGAGAAGCTCTGTCCACATTTCATTTCACTTGCATTTCAACACAATTCACCCGAAATAGTAGTAGTAGTAGCAATAATAATAATAATAATAATAATAATAATGATAATAATGATGATGATGATGATGATGATGATAAGAAGAAGAAGAGTGGATTAAAGAGTTTCCATTGGTTCACACTCCCCCCTACTTTTTTGAACAGGAGTAGAGGTTTATTCCTTGTTTCCTGTTTAGGATTAAATTTCCGGTTCCTTCTAAAGTCTACTTTCACGCTATATTTCTAACGTTTCCGCCTAAACTCTGAAAATTTTATTTACTATTTATTTACTTTTTCCTCAATAGGGGTAAATATGTCAACTTTTATCCCAGTTCACACACCTCTCTGGTCTTTTGAACACGAGTAGAAGTTCATTCCTTGTTTACTGTTAAGGATTGGGTGTCCTGTTTGTTCTAAAATTTTTGTTTTCTCTTTCATTCCTTGTCGCTCAGTGCGTCTTACTGACATTATTTCCTTTCTTGGGGTGAATCAGTTATATTTTCCATTTTCTCTCTAGTGGGGACCCTAAAAGGAAGACGCAACAAAAATCAAAGGAAATAATAATAATAACAATCCCTGTTGTAGTTGGAGCCCTAGGACTGGTTGGAAAAGATTCCAGTAGACTAATTGAAGGGATTCCTGGAAGTCCATGCCTCAAGGAGATACAGAAAATTGTTCTGACAAGTACAGCCCACACCTTACGAAGGGCTTTATGTATGTAATTTTTTTTTTTTTTTTTTTGTCAGTGGAAAGTGTCATGACGCCATTTCTAACCTTAGGTCCCTGGGCGGGACCCGGAAAGAAATGTGTAAACGCCAGAAATCAAAGAAAATAAAAAGAATAATAATAATAATAATATCATTAAACAAAGCCAAGAAATCTGAAACTCCTTTGATACGTCTGATATTCCTCATCTTCCGCCACTGCAGCAAATAAAATTAAGGTAATGACGAAAGTTGATTATATGAAGACTCTTGAATAAAAATGGAAAGCTGATGGAGATCTAAATCCTTGAATGGAAAGTGCCCAAAAGCGTCTGGATGAAACAGACATCGACATTCGCCCAACCCATCAATAGCTTAGAAGCAGTGGTCTTAAGAAAGGGTCAGGTGGACATTAAGGCAACACAAGACCAATATCTCCCAACTAATGCTTACAAGATTAAAATCAACAAAGATCGCTGAAATCCCGTCTGTCCTTTATGCCATAAATTTGATGAAACTGTTACATCGTATCAGTAAAGATTGTATACAGTTTTTACTGAGAAAGATTACATTATATATATATATATATATATATATATATATATATATATATATATATATATATATACACACACACATATACATATATATATATATATATATATATATATATATATATATATATATATATATATATATATATATATATGTAAGTGCGTAGGTATGCAGAAAATAGAAAAGAAACACGTTGGGTGCATAATCCGGGGTTCCTTAGTATTTTTTTTTTTATTTTAAGAAGACAGTGCTCCATACAGAAGTCGAGCTTATATTATTATAATATTTTTTGTTTAAAAATATGATTATCTATTTCAATAGATACCCTACCCAACCTTATCTATTGAAATAGATACCCTACCCAACCTTAGCAAAACCTCTCAGAAGATGATGAATCTATTGATAAGAATTAACTCTCTGACCACTTAACGAAGGAAAATAGTCTAGCCACTCCCACAATAACGAATTCTGTAACGGACCGTGCCTAAAAATACACGTAAACTGAGAGATAGCTTATTCCTAAAATTTCGCTTGAAGATGAAACGGGACTAAACACCACAATCCAATTTAATTTTAATAATTATTTGGATGATTTCGGCTCTCGTTTTTGAAACATGAGAACTCTTATGTAGCGAAGGAATCATATTTTTAAACAAAAGATATTATTATAATTATATATATATATATATATATATATATATATATATATTGTGTGTATTTAGGCAGCATCTTTTCATTCATACACGTTTCATTAAATAATATAGACAAGTGTTGTCTATTTATTTTATGTAATTTTTTTTTCGTAACGTCTGATAAGTTTAATAACATTATCGTTGAACCAAGAAAGAA